TATTCTTCCTCTTTTTGCCTGAACCGCTGCACTAATCGAGAATGTATCTGTACAGTGTATGCCTGAACAGTATCTACTATGTCCTTCTCGAGAGACCTCACCACAGCTATATCATGAATATTCTTCAACTTTCTCATGTTGAAGAAACCATAGCGTACATGGAAAAATTCTTGACCTGGTTCTCATCCAGGATCATCAAGTGTAACTGATGAACAATGTATGATTCCTAGCATGTGCAATGAAAATGAATCAAAAAATATCCAAGGCAAGAAAGTTATATTGGACAAGAATCAGGAAAAGCTGTTCAAAACTACTCCAACGAGTAGCATTACAATATAAGGTTCTACAACCCAAAAGACATCCTGTTACAAAAGAGAAGTTCATACAGCGCCCTGGTTTGGAGGATTGATCGTTGGCTCTCATTGGTTTCCTCGACTGGCATTTGGGTCGGCCCAGCCCCCTTCTCGACCTCTAGCTCCTTCTCCTTATCGCCACCATCATCAACTTCCTCTGAGGAGTCATCATCGGAGACCAACCCGACCTCGATGAACTTGTCAGGAAGATCAGGCACCCGCAATTCCTCATCAGGGTCACCCATCAGAACTGTGGGGACATCACCAGGAAAAGAAGTGATCTCGGCAGGAGAACCCATCTAGAGGATGGTGTTGCACAACGCATTGAACAGAGGAAGTTGCTCTGTCGAAAGGTGCTTTAGCCCGTTCTTCATCTCCTCATGCAAAGCCCGGCGAGAATCTTTCCTTATAAACTGCTTTAGCCAGCCTGCGTTAATGGTCCTGCCTAACTCCATCCTCTCAAGAGCAGCGACGGCTATACCATAGCCACCCAATTGCTTGGCTGCCTCACTGATGCCAAGTATAACATTGGCCATTCCGCCGGTAGACAACATCCTCGACCAGAAAGCAACCACCCATTGCAGCAAATCTAATTTAGAAATATGGGATTCCCCATATTCTCTCATTTTTGCCTCCAGCTCGCTATACTTTGCTTGCAAGGAGACTAATTCCTTCTCTTTTGCGGCAAACTCCAACTGCTTCTTTTTCCAAGCATCCTCTTGAGTCATCTTCTCTTGCTCGATGAGTTTCTTCTTGAGCTCCAACCTGGCCAGCTCCTCTTTCAGTCTCTTCTGAAGGAGCAAGAAGCTTATCATCGAGGTACTCATTTGTAAAAATCATAGAAAGACATTCCAATAAGTTAAACAGACAACATGGGTTACATCACTCAGAGTGAAGGATATATTTACCAGATTCAAGGTATCTTCCTCGGTCATTGCCGCAGCATTTTCTTCAAGTATGGGGCACTCGATTCTTGCATCCCCAAAATGGTATACAGCGGCAACAGCAGTATAAGTCGACGATCCTGGGGAGGCATCAATATCCTCGAGGGTGTCTTTCTACTTTTCCAAAGGAGGTTTGGGACCAGTGAATCATTCCAGGTCTATCTCTGTAACCAGGTGGGCCTTGGGGACTGGATTCTCAGGATTCTCTTTGGCCGTCTCGACAGCTGACGGAATTGTCTCCTAATGGACAACTTCCTTCTCGACAGCCGGCGGAATTCTCTTCTTCTTCCCAACTCTTGTCGATGACCCTTCATCATCTGAGTTTTTAACATCAAAAATCTTGGCGTCACCAAACAATCTAACGGTGTTTCTGCTCGACGACATAACCTAAAACAGAAAAGATAAAAGAGGAGTTAGTACCTTCTTTTTCCTCGACAGGGACTGGGAGAATGTAGTGTTGAACGTTGGTCCAGTTGATGAATTTCTCATACTCCTCCATGGCATTAATGTTGGGTCTGTACTCCTTAATTTTGGCCCTATCCCCCTTAGTCCAGTCATCAACTATCACATCTAGACCGTGGGTTTCTCGATGATCCCAGGCCATACAGAAGTTCTCTTGTGCTTTTACATATAGGTAATCGGGTTTCCATACTGGGGCACCATCGAAAAGCTCCACTACATGTATTGCCTTCGATTTCGGGTTTTTCTTCACATTGTACCAGTCTCTAAACTTGGTCGAGGGCACGCAGACCTTGAAGAAATACCTCCATACGAGTAACCGAGGTTTTACACTCACCAACTCACACAGTCTCGCAAACCCGAGAACAACAGTAATTAAATTCGGGGTGAATCGAGCAAGTGGAATCTTATAGTGTTGGACTATGGCTCCAAACAAGGGAAAAAGGGGGAATCTAAGCCCTAGAAACATAAATCGATCATATACTGTAATTTTTTCTCTATGGTGGAGTGTTAGCTCTTTCATTTCCTACAGGGGCTCGATATTTTAGATCTACGGGCAAATTGTATTTCTCAGCTACTGTCTTAGCTTTCGGGTTAGAATCTATGGTGGACGTGAAATCGGAAACAATTTTCTCATACATATCTACCACAATATATACTAGCAACAAACTACAATGAAAGAAAGGTTAGAATCGAAACTGAGATGGGTAGATCTGGAAAAACTTACTATTGGAATAGGTCCCCATTCTCCTTTCGAGTTGTAAACTCCCAGAATGTCAGAAGTCCTCGGTGACAGTGAATATTAATGGCCTCCGGCAGCAATCGTCGTGGGCAATTGCGGCTAATGCAAAAGCAGGGGCTTTGTAGCAGCAAAGGAGCTCTTTCTTTTTTAGGGTTCTGATGTTTGGAAGAGAAAGGAAATGTCAAATCTGATTTCCTCAAGGGGCATTTAAAGAAAACCAGTCTCCCACGTTCCTGCCCGTTACGGGGTAATTCGAGGCAGTTATGATGATGTTAGCTGCCGTTTGGGGAACGTGCCCACTAAAGACGCGCGGATTAATATTTTGAGCGGGATTCTGAAGCGAGTCACCTTTTCGGTTCGTATCTTAACCCGCGAGCAATTCAATCAAGCCTGTTCGACGCTACATGGGCCGAGACTTGTCCATTCAACATGGGTCGGGTCCAGGTTAGTTCTATTTTGTGTCAAGTTTTGTATAGTTCATATAACTAACACTTAACAGGGGCACTTGACGAGTCCATATCTACCAAGGATTATTGGACCGGCCCATCCGTCAATTAGAGCCTAACTGACCTTACAGGGGCGGTTTAGGAATAAGAAACCTAATGGGATTCGGCTTCCGTCAAGGCAATCCCATGCCTATGAATAGGGGTGGTCTCATCACAATTGAGGTACGCTATCTCTAGCTCCAATAATCATACACACATTACTCCATATCCCTATTTTCTGACTTAAGCATCGGAGTATCTACCCTTGGGAGACTCTCGAGACTCTATTTTGCAGGAAACCCTAGCCGGAATTCCATTGTTAAACCGGAACTACAATTCCAAGCTTCGTCAGAAAGAGATAAATGTTTAATTAGATGCCAAAAAAGATCTTACATTAATGTCAAATGAGTAAAAAATCATATTGTAAATCAGGAATTTAAACAACTATTATGCTTTTCTTTGGTGCATTTGGCTGGATCCTTATGTCTCCAAGATGGAAAAATTCCCTTTCGCATCCATGAAAAATGGAAAGCTCTGTTTCAACTAATCTAACTATATATATGATAAGGGAGTTTGCAAGTTCACACATGTGAACTTTATAGTAATCCTTCCACATATGTGCCTCATTTATAAATTAAAAAATTACAAAAAATATTTTTTCCTCTCTAACTCTAATCTTTAGATGCTCTTAGCCATTAATTTTGATCATTAGTTTTGACATTTTGATCTTCTTAATTTTTATTAGTCTTTTGATCATTAATTTTAAGTCTTTTCATTTTTTCATTCACATGTTTCTTCTTTTTCGTTTTCCATTTGATACATTTACTTGAGATTAACCAATACTTCAAATAAGTAAATAATAACCATTTAACTCTTTTGAATATATATTCAAAAATTTTCAGTACTAAATAACATAAGAAAGTGAAAAGTCATATCTGCAAACCATCAATACCAAATGTTAAATATTTTGTTATCACACCTAAAATTATATAATTATTAGAGAATTTTAGTTTGAGTTTGGATAGTATTTAAAATGTGTGTTTTTAAAGGTTTTATTTTCTTTTTTTTCATTTTCGTGTTTTACCTAGCTAGAAGTCAATTATCAAAATGAAACTTATGTCTAACCATTTTTCTTTCTTCCTATTCCAAACTTTTCATCTTTCTCTCTAAAGATGCCATCAATTGTGTTAGTATAATGTGACTTAATTGAAATCCGTTAAGTTATAAAATGGTGACTATCATCATTAATCACGTGACGAAAGTTATAACTATTTTATCTTCATTTGTTGCTACTCAATTGACCTCTTATTTTATTTCTTCATCTTCTCTCTTTCTATCATTTGGTCTCTCCCTCTTTCATACCCGAACTAATTATTGTACTTTCATTTGAGTTCATTCTCTTTCTTTAAATTTGTCGACAATAGTTAAAAGCAAATGATGTATGTTTTTTTTTCCCCCTCTTTTTCCGATGTTTGCCTTGTTTAATGAAAATTGTTTTTTTTTTTCATATTGCTTTCTAAAATGATTTATTGAGTTTAGAAGTTAAGGAAATAGGTAGTGTGATGTATACTATGATGTATACCATTATCAATTTCCATTAATTCTGAAGGTATTTATGATCATTTTTTTGTAAATGTCATATTTGTTTTGTTACAAAAAAAATAAAATTTCTTCATATTTTGTATTATTTCTATATTATTATGTTTAAAATTTTTATTTTATATTATCGCGTCTCTCTCATATTTTAATACTTCAATCAATTTTTGAATATTTTATTAATCTACGTATCCGCGAAGCGCATACGATACCACTAGTTATGATTGTTGTTGTTGTTCACCACTATAAACCTCAAAACTGTAGTCTATCTTTTTTTATGACAAAGTTAAATAATGGATGAATCTCAATATTAAAAAAATAATAATGAAACTCTGTAATAACATCTTAAAAGAGGGAAAAACTGCTAGTAGAAAAATAATCGAGGAGGGCATTATTGTCATTTAGAATCACAATCGTCGTAGAAAACAGCCGGCAGCGGATGAAGTTGAAACAACATCCTGTCCCAAATTACTGGCACTTTTACACAAAAAGCTTTAGCCATGGGGATTTTCTCTTGGTTTAGGGGAAGCAGCAGCAACAACAGCAACTCCGGTAACCCTCAAACCAATCCGGCGAAAAAATCCGAACCCAAATCGCAATTATCTTCTTCTGAGGTGCCTGGCATGAACGGAGCGGTGGAGGTTCGGCGCCCCAACCCACCACCTGATATCACTGTCTTCGAATTCGGCTCCGTCGCCGCGTCAGCCGATAAGGTTACTCTCGCCGGCTACTGCCCTGTTTCCGACGACCTTGAACCTTGCCGCTGGGAGATTCTTCCGGCGAGTGGCTCTGAGGCCCCCCAGTTTCGCGTTGTCTTTTGATGTAAAATTGGGATAATTTTTTACTTCAGGAAAGTGAAGGGAGGAATTTTGAGCTTAGCTTGCAACGAAATGGTGAGAAGAGTGAAAGTTTTTATGGTTTTTTGTTCTATCTCAAAAGCCCTATTTTAGTTGTGAAACGGTTTCTTGTAATCTTCTGTAACTTGATACTACTATAAAAGTAACCCTTTTTAACTCTCTTGGAGTGTCTTCGATTTAATCTTTTGTGCCCATTGTCGTTTTTTAGTCTAACGCTATAAGCAATAAGTTTTTCATGAGAAATTAATAGATGTTGCGCAAAGATGTGTTCTTTCTGATGTCTAATGAACTCTCATATGATTCATATCTGTGCTCAGTTTCTATGATCTTTTGCTGTGTTGTTAGGTAATGGTTTTTTCTTTCTTTTGTGTTTCGGATTCAACGTAGCAATTTTAATACAGTTTACAACATGGGCACCTAATAGTGTGTCCACAGTGTTTTAGGAAACAGAAGAAACTATCTTGCAATTTGGCTCTAAGTAAAGATCAATTGGACTTCCATTGGGCAGAACTATCTTCAGTTTAGGTTAGTCTGGTGGTTGGGAATGCATTCAATCAAACACTAACTTTAAGTTGTTTCCTGTGGTAAATCATGATAAAGCTAATTCTATCAGCCTGTATGCATTTCCACCATAAGCTGGTGGATATTGAAAGGAGCAAGGGAAGCATTGAGAAATCTTTAAGGGATCAGAAGACCCATTGCTGAACTAAAGTTAGCATGAACCTACTTTATATTGATCTTCCTGTTTCTTTCAAACATAAACTTGCCAAATCAAACACTGAAGGAATTTTGTTCACTGTTTAGTGTTTTAACAATTTTCAGTTAAAAAAATCGTATTTTCTACACTTTTGTCTCTTAATAAGGTCACCGCTTTTTGTTGGATTCTAGTTTACATTTCAGGATATATGTATAGGCTGATTAAGGTAGGAATAACAAGACACACAAGCAATCTTAGATGCTAGTAATAAGAATGTGCTGTTGTTCTGTATAGTTAAACTGAATTGCAGCATCTGCCAAGTGAATATTTGAATGACATTTGGCTACATTCAGTCTCCCCTGGTTTATTGATATTGTAATGATAATCAGCTCCAAATGTGTTCTTTGCATGAGTATCAGATTCTGTATTCTCTTTAAACTTACAGGAACAGATACAGTAGTTCAAACATAGTGCCAAACACTGAATAATTATTTTGAATGGGCAAAGACTGAACTTTGCTTGTAATCTATAAGATGCAATGTATTGCTTTCCTCCATTGAATATTCGTAAGGGCAGATGAGGATGTTCCTTTGGAGAGAACACTGCCACTGTCGGATAGCTTAAAATGAGATTGAGTTGTCTTGTTTGTCATTAACTGTTTTAAGGTTCGAGCTCTCTATTTCTTTTCTAGAGTAAGGTTGTTTCTACAAATGTGATAGTAGTGGTTGAGACTAACAATGTGAAAACTTTTTCCTTTCAGCTATCTTCCATTTGTACTAGGAAAGGGAGTTGCGTTGCTTTTACTTTGATATATTCTCTTCCATTAATGGAAATTTTGGAGATCCAATTATGGTCTTCTCCTCACTGTTACGGATAATCAGTTCACATTTTTCTCAATTTTTTTACACGGCACTTTAACCCGACAATAAAATTTTGGTACTGTCAAAGATAAAATAATTATTATGATGTTCGGATTCCATATATTGTAGGTCAACCTCTCAATTTTGATGTGTCTGCTATTATAGATCCTTCCTCGAAAGCGAAATAACCACATCCGGTTATGGACGCTTAACAATGATGTGATTAGTAACTCAAGCAGGACCCAAAAAGACCAGACAATTTGTAGCAGAATCAGTTTGGGAAAAAGAGTAGATAAGAACATTTATGTAACTCTCCAGAGTATTGTTGTTCCAAACTCAATATGACAAGATGCAATTTCTTTGTTGTTCCCTTGCGACTTGGTAAGGTAGAAATTATGCGTTGTCCATTCATGATACCTTTTGGAATGTATATAAATCCACAAACTGAGGGCGAGTCAGTGGGTCTTTTGACAAATGAAAGGAATGATTGTAGTTCCATTGATTTTGAATTCTAAATGGGCGAGTCAATAGTCAGAGCGACACGAGTAAAAATTCATGCTCAGTTAAAATCTCAAGAACTACTTTTCTGCCCAGCCAAGTGAGAACTAGAGGGGAGGCGCATCCGCAACCATAATGAGGACAATGACACTCAAGATGCTGTAGAACAGCTAAAATTCTAAGAGGTAGGCCTGTAGTATAACTTATGTTTTTACAATAATTTTTTGAACATGGTTAAATAATGCAACCAGAACAATGTGCTCTTTAGCAACTTTTTAACAGCTTCAGAAAATCCTTATGCCACCACTATGCCAGCATGTTGCTCTTCGAGTCAAAAGAAACTAGAATCCATGCATGCCGATGAAATGAACAAAAATGACTAAGCGCTGCTCGACCCAAGAATCTGTTCAACCAGCTTGGCCACTGAGTTTGCCAGAGCATCTGCTGACTCTTGTGTGTTGGCTTCTGCATACACTCTAACCACATCCTCTGTTCCGGATGGCCGTATAAAGCATCTACCGTGGTTATATTTTGCTGCATAAATTTTGAAGCTATCAACTAACTGACAATCAATTGATACAATAGCGTGGATGAACACGAATAATCCACATCAGATTGTAATGGACTTGATCCTAAGAATGGGCCTAAAGTGTCTTCCAAAACTTAAGAAAAGCAGAAAAGAATAGTGGATAGTATCAAGTCCTTAAATAACTGAATATGTCAAAGGGACAAGACAAAATGATAATATTTACCAATTTCAGCATCTATGACTTCTTGAAGACCGAGGGGCTTCACGACAACAGTTTCAGCATTTGCCGTCACAACTGCATATCTGTCAGCCACTTTTACCTGCAGAGAAACTAGCAAGATCAACTTTCATAAAGAGATGAAACCACCAATACTGACTCCAATTGGCAGACTCAAATGCCACGGATACAAAAGGCCAAAATAATAGTACGTGTTACTGTCCGATTTTCCAATTTCAAACAAGGACAAACCTTTAGTTGTCTGCTAGGTAAGTCATGGTAAAGCTCGTTCCATCTGTGGATGGACCAGCCAAAATGCTTAAGGATAGCCTCAACTAGAAGGAGCCCACTAAGGGCGTCTCCTACAGCCTGATTGATTAATTTACCGACAGATAGAAGTCTTGAAGCCGCCTTATGTCTTTCAGAACCTGTAAAACAATTAACTAACATGTTAAAATTTCCTAAACCTTTTGAGTAACAATCAAAATCAGGCATAAAGAAAAAACATATGTCAAGTGACCTCTTGAAGTTGATTGTAGATCATTATTCATATCCTCTAAACAGCTTATGTAAGTTTCTGAGAACAAGATGGTTCCATGCCCATTTGCCTCAAAATATATCCCAATGTCAAATTCAGCAGCCTTCTCATGCAAGTGCTTCACTCCAGTTGGTGTAAATACCACCTCTAGGCCCAAATGTTTTAGGTACTGAGTGGATGCACCATTTGCATAAGCCGTTTGCACAACACCTATACGCGCTTGATGAGACCGGCTTACTGTCAAATCTTCATTTTTGTTCAGTACACTTAACTGCTCCTGAATGAAGAGAGCAAACAAAGCCATAATCTTGTCCCCATCAACAAGTTGAATTCTAGTATTATTTGGTTCCAAGAAGAAATACACAAGCCGATCAGCATCTCCGTCCAAACTGGCACATCTGAAACGCCATTAATAGTTAATCAGTTCCAAAACAGAACCCAAACAATGGCAATGAACACATCATTAGGATGCCCAAACACTGATATAAACTAGTTCTTTAAAAAATACATATGCTGATAGCTCAAAAGATCACCGGTAAAAACAATAAATTTTTTTCTTTTTGGTGAACAATAACGTCAATAGAAGGAATACGGTGCTAGTGAAAATCTAATGCTCATAGTGAACGTTGAAAACTAATGATAGACAAGAGAATGTAAACAAATGATGGTTATTCAGATTCAGATGCCTTTGATAAGGCAAGCAGAGAGGAAAACAAAATTATTTGTTTCTTGACAGAGCACAACTGCAACAAATCATCCAGATAACTGAGCCCTGATAGTGCAATGAAGGCTGAGTTATTGTTCTTCATTAACTTTATACACTGAAGCACAACAAGCACCCTGCTGCAAGGTACTGTTAAAAAGACAAATGAATCTGCTTGGACTCCATGACACAGAAAGATACAGAAGACATGAAACTGATACATGCAGGTTGCTAACCTGAGTCCAACATCGGCAGTATCAAAACCCCGAGGCACAACCTTTTCTTTCTGCACATAGTCAGCACCAACACCATCATTAAGTACACCATTTCCAGAATTACGAACTTCTATGGTGGTATCATTTAACATACTCTTCAAAGTTTCAAGCTTTTCTCCACCAACACCATCTGAACCATCAACAACTAATTTATCATCAGTGCTACTTGTCAAACTTCCTTGAGGAACCAATTCCAACAAGCACCTAGAAAATTACAAGGTCCAATCATACAAACGTCTCTCCAGGAAGAAACAAATTATTTGAGACATTAAAACATTATTAAAGACAATGAGTTATTTGCATGCAAAGAATACTTCTAACCTGAAAGAGCCTGAGAGCTGGGCATAATAATTAGGTTCAGATGCTTCCATGCACTTATTTTTAGCACGGACCATCCAATGCAGTTGTGGTGTCGTCACAACCCCCATATCAACAGCAGTGGCTCTAGCAATTGAAGCAACCCCCTGAAACCAATTTCAGTGCAATCATTATTCATACGAAATACTAATTGTGCAACTACAGTGGAACTTCGGATTGAAGCAAGTTTATCTGAATTTTATACAAAATCTCATATGATCACAACTCTTGCAGCTATACATAAAACTGCGCCTCATATAACTAACACTGGTGTATAAGTAGTGTAACTTTGGATCCCGTGTAACTTTGAATCCTCAAGCATAGGAGATAACTACATAACAATTACGTATTAGAGATACTATGCATTCATCAAGCCGTTCACTACAAATTTTTTTGTCCGTAACATTCACTTGAAGAGGTAGTAAGAGAAAGCTCACTTAAATGAATGGAAAGAAGTACTTGTTTTGCAGCCTCAAGCAGAGAGGATCCACTAGGCCTTGTATCTCTTCCCAGGAGAACCTCAGCTACATCTTTTCCATCAAGCAGAATGTTTTCCTTCTTCACGAAAGCTTCAATCAGCTGTTTCAAAATGGATGAGAAAAGATTACCGACCCATGCTATCTTCACCATGGTGAGGACAGTAGCCAACATGAAGAACTAAACAACATGTAACAAAACTGGACCAAAATACATCATGATGCTGTATCTCATGCACCGTAATCAAAACCTATATTTATCCCTTTTACCAATGCTAAAATTGCTAAAATTTGAATCAAAACACTTTCTTTTTTGTATAACCTCCAAAGTTGAACCATGTAAAATAATCCAGAAAGCTTGATATTGAGCTTGAAATAAGCAAATAAACAATAAAACAAATTTCCAGACCTAAATTGAGCTAAAACATGAAGGAACATTGCATGATCACCTAAACATTTTTAAATAAAATCTCCCATCTAACTTACAATAACCTCCTAGTTAAGTGTGATTCAAACCCAAGGGACTGTAACTAGGAGCTGCTGGAATAAAGTTTTGACCAAGGAAGAACCAATACAGTACATTACACTGGGTATTACCTGAACAAGGGAAGAAGAATCAGGGGCATTAGCAATTGAATCAGCAAAGGGTTCCCAGTGTTGAGTCAACATTCCGCCGCTAGGGTCAGCTACTTTGACTCCATTATCGGAAATCTGATTGTGCGATGCAGTGATCATCAGTCCGGTGACAGCTCCGGTCTTGAGTGATCTCAGGGCCGCCAATATACCAACCCTATACACCGTCGATTCTAACAATGATGCATCCGCCCTAAACCCCGCCGTCCCATAAGATAGCTTCACACCTAAAATTGGAAAGAAAAAAAAAATGCTCAAATTATAGAAAATCATTCATATGACTGATTTAATTCTGGAAACAAGAAGAAGTTGCGGAAAATTTGATGGAGATTACCTTGGGGAGGTGAGAAGCGAGAGGAGAGTTCGAGGAGGAGAGACCGCTGTTCGTCATTCATTTTTGGGTTTCAAATTTTTGCTTAGAATCGCCAGGAAAAATTTTTGAAGTTTGAACAGAGATATGTTGCGTTGAGTTCAACTTCAACTGTGTGTGAAGAGGAAAAAATCCATATATATTAATACATGATGAAAATAGTTTACTTAGCATAGAATTGGGGGTTCACTTAAGTTGAAAGTAAAAAAAAGAAAAGATTTAATTGTGATTACAGTGTATCTTAACCATAAATAATTTTATTTTAATTTTCTGCAACAATTTTTAAAATAAATATTCTAATAATGAAAGCTTAAATAGAGTCCAAGTTATCCTAAATTACTCATATTCGAAATCTTATACGGGATTTATTAAATATTGTTCTATTTAAATCTCATCACAGTATATAGTTCAAAATCGGTTTATGTTCAATGCAAGCATTCTCAATGGATGTAGAGTACCTGTGTATAGTGATTACTAGAGAAGTTTCAGCTTATACTGTATTTAGAGAAGTTTCAGCTTATACTGTATTTTTAAAGGGAATTTTGGATATCTTTTTAGTACTAAGCGAGTATATATAAATGTATCTTTCAACGCGATTACTTTTATATTTTTTGATCATCTTTATTTTACACAAATAATACAGGAAATAGTTTATAACGCGCGCAAAACGTGCGGGCCACCCACTAATAATAATAAAAAAGAAAAAAAATAAGAAAAAAGAGCACTAGAAAATGGAATGGTGAATTGCTAATCTTGTTATTCGACTTATTCCACGCCGAGTTTCCAAATTTTAAGGCTCTGTTTGGTTGGTTTTTTCGTCCATTTTTTCAGAATTTTTAATTAATATCTATCTCATCTCAACATAACTTTTTACATTTTCAATACACTTTTTTACGTTTCCCAATATAAAAAAACACACTCAAAAAACCATCCACACATACCCAAGCTTTCTGTGATAGGAGTCAAAAGGCGCTCGTACCAAGTTACGCCTTCACCATTCATTCTTTTTTTTTTTAAGTGGTCATTCATTCCTCATTAGTCAGTACAGTTCTTTTTCAGTAGAGTATTTTGGGCGAATACCAAAATCATGGCTTGATCCATTACCAAAAATGCCCTCAATGTCTATAAAATATCAAGAAACCCCCTGTATTTTCAATTCTTTCATAGCAGAATTTAGGTTATATATTGATAATCTTGAGAAGTAATCTAAATCAAGGACTTCATAAATAATACTCTATCCGTTCCATGTTAGTAGTCTTATTTTTTTAATGACTCGTTTGGCAATCAATCAACTCTGGAAGGTTGTTTTTGTGATTGAGTGTTTGAAGAACTTTGTTTTAGCGACTGATTGTTTTACGAATGTGTCAAAATTTTTGAAATTATTTAAGTCGCGTATAATAATTAGATGTAATAATTTGATATTCACACTCTACATTTTTTGGACTGCAGAAGATTGATGCGCCAATGTAAATCTGGTCGAGAAAAAATCAAACACAAAATGTTTAGTTTTACCAAACATAGCAATCAACACCAAAGAAGTTCATAATATCAAAGATAGCAGAATGATCTGCGAGTTTTTCAACTATCAAACTTCAAACTAATCATCTAAAACAATTTCTTCGTCGATGTATACTAATTCTTCTTCAAATTCATCAACTTCTACGGCTTCCAATTCGTCCTCGTCATCTGATGCATCTCCTCCCCGTAAATGCATCCTGAGAAACTTTTCTTCTTGCTGCAATTCTCTCCATTTCATCACCCATCCCTGCCATTCATCAATCAGCATCTTCCTTCGTTGATCCTCCTGCTCTCTCCGACATCTACTCATTTCGTGCTCCTCAGCTTCATACTTGTGAATGTAGTCCTTCAAATTCTTTTCTATGTTTCGCTCTTCATCTGCACTGAGTAGGGATGGAGGCCTTGGGCGCCAATGGAACTACATGGAAGCAATTTCACAGGTTCAGCTTCAATAGAGTTATCGAAGAAACATAAGGAGCAAAGTAGAGATTAACAACAAGATCCCAAATGATTAGACCGTTTGATTTGATCCAGGATCTTTCTTTTATTTGCATCAGCCAGTTAAATGTTTATATAATGGATGACATCTACTTTTTAAAAGTGAAACAATGTTGATCATATATAAGGAAGTTCAGGGGAAAAGAAAGGATAAGTTAGAATATGAGCTATGAAATATTTTACCTGATTAAATTGTTCCATTTGCACCAGGTAAAGCATCTTGCCATAGAAGGACCAGATTATAAACCCATTTTCAAATTCATTGATACTGCTGACTGAAGTCACGATGTACCTGTATATCACAGCAAAAAATTTTCCCACTGTTACAAGTTTTCATCAAAGATATTGCAAGAAAAAGCAGAGAAATTTTTGGCAGATTAGGTGCAAAGTGGATTTCGTAATATAACGTGTTTTATAGGAATTATACACTACCTCCCAGTTGGATCCCATTCGATACCAGTAGCCAAATAATGTTCAGTCATTGCTGAGGTCTTGAATTCATGAGCATCAAAAAATTCGAGTTTCCCTCCAAAATCTTTAAGGCCGGCAATCACCACAAAACGCCCTGCAGGCGACCATTGAAGGGTATTGGCTTGCTTGCTCCTTAGAGTTTGAAGCTTCGAGAATTTGGATGTATTTGAAGTTTTCTTCAAAGAGTAGAAACTCACATCAGGGCGCATGTTATCGCCATGAATAACACCAAAACTTTGGCCCTTTGGCTCCCAAGAAAATTCAATGATCTTGTCATTGTCAGTTTCTAGTTCCAAAATTTCAACAGGGATGCCTGGCTCTCTCATCCAGAAGATATGAATAGCAGATTCATTTCCTTTTGCTGTTCGCTTTTTGTAATCAACATGAATTGCAAGATAATCACCATTCCTCTGCCAGTACATATTTGAAAGGTTGACATTGAAGAGTGTCTTCTGCCTCACTTCTTGTTTCTTTTGAACATCTATAAGAATCACCTGCAAATCAGAAACTTAGGTCAAAACATCAAACTTATCACCCATCTTTGAAGATACTTCCCCAAAATCAATTCTGCTCACCCTTGCAGGTTGGTCATGTGATTCTTCAATAGAGGCTGCAAGAATAGGGTCGGTAGGCGACCAACTAAAGCTCTGAACATTCTCTATCTTCCGCAGGGATTTATTGGTTTTTAGAAAATTTTGAGTTTCGCAAACAAGGAGGATGTTGTTCTCCATGATAGCGAAGTACATATCATTCCTTCCTCCACTCCATCTGTGAGAACAGACATTTCAAGATCAAGAAAGGGTTAATGGGCATCCAAAACTGTATCAGAAGAACCTCAGAAGTATATATTTTGGACACTGAAAAAGTAGAGGAGAAGAAACCTAATAGAAGAGCCAGGTGGTAGTCCATTTGCCAAAAGATCTCTATTTTTTCTGAAACTCCTGACTACTCTGCCTGTTCTGACATCGAACATACGCAGCACCAGTGTCTAAGAAATCAAATGAACAATATTAGTTGTCAGAAGAAATATATGTAGGATCATCTATAACATGAGTTGAATGGGAATGGCTGATTAATACTTCACCTGTTCATTTTTTGGAGTTGAAGATGAACTAATATCATAAGACACCAGATATTTCTCCCCTGGAGAGAAATCAAACAACTTAACCTGAAGAAAAGTCAATAAAACTAATTTGTAAGTAATAGGGTTTTCAAAGCTATAACATTTGGAAGAACGGTATATGGATTAACGACGATTGTCATGAATAACAAATGACCTGTGGATGAGCAAAATGAATAAGAGGGCAAAATCCAGCAGCACTTCCATGTAGAGTAACCCCTTCCTTATCTCCCACAGCCAAGTATGTCCCCATAGGTGACCACTGCACAAGGCTCTCAATCTTGCATACAATGATGTGAAACCAAAGTAAGCACACCAGGATCAAGAATGGTAGGAAGAGAATGTGAAACAAAAATGTATATATACTAGAGCAGTGAAATAAATTCTAGAGAGATATTGAATTTGCACATACACATGACATGCGAACATCCTAAATGTTGATTCTTAGAACTACTACTGACGGAAAAGTTCCGAGACTAACAACATAGAAGAAAATTTTAAAAATTTGTGATGGCAACAAAATTTAAATGATAAGAGTAAATCTGAACCAAAGCCGCTATTCAACACCACTCAAGCTAGCTATATAACACCATTCAAGCCATTCCGCCTAACAAAAGGTTATAGGAAGCGCATGCATGTGTCTCTTACCTCCAAATTATGCACAAACTCAGGTTCTGATAGTCTCAGATCATTCCAGTAAACTTCCAAGTGCTCACCAGCTTGAACAGAATATTGGTCGCGAGCTTTGTAATCAGTAAGCCAATGATGTAGATTTTCCTGGACATGATTTTAATAAATAAATATGTTAGGCCTCATGAAGCGAAGGCAAAGGTAAATTAACCAATAGAGCAAGAGAACTATTTTATGATCAACCAAGCCTAAGCTCCAATTTGTGCAGAAACAATGTACAAAACAATGTAAATCAAGCTTGGAATGAAGGCCAGATGACCAAATGAAAAGAGAAAAAACTTGAAAAATACACCTTAATCGAAGGTGATTACTATAGCATGTAAAACTATGTAATCCATACATATGTTCAGATTCAAGTTCAGATTAGCAGGTCTCATGAGGAAGTTAAGAGGCGATTCTTCTTTTTCGGGAATACAAATGATTCAGCTTAATAGGATTCACTTAAATTCATCTTCATCTACATTCTCTAGACAAGAAAAATCTCAGGGCATAAGACTCCAAACAGGATCAAAAAAATGAAAGATCTCAATATGTTGTGCGGCATAAGAGGCATGGCATTCAAGTCCTAACTACAACACTTACCTGGATTTGCATAAGAAAATACAGGAAACAAAATAAACTTCAAATTTGAAAGAATCATTCAGAAAGACAAAACCCACAAGAATCATGTTGCAGCGAGACTTTAATGAGGGAAAACATAGGAAGATGAGTGCTACGGTACCTGACAAATACTTGGCTTCTCATCGGAATCTGGAACAATGAACTCTTCTGGAGTGTTGATGAGCCTGTCAAATTCTTCCATCAAAGTGACAGCAAATTTGTGCCGCCTATCCAGCATGCGGCCATCCGTTTTCTTCTTAGCATGCTCTGCTTCCTAAAAAGGCAAACACCAAGAAATTAAGGCAATTTCCAAGCAAATTTGCCCCTGTAATATTGATCACAAACTGGAATTTAAACTACTATCTTGAACCAGTCTACTGGTGTCTAAAATCAACAAGATTCTCAGATGTTTTTATCTATTCCAATCAACAACCAATTACTGAATCCTGTTTCATCACTTGGGAGAAAAAATCACTGTAATTTGGACAAGTTCTATTCTAGAGGAAACAATTCCTCGGCCAATATTAACCCTTTAATTAGCTCCACAAAGAACAGAATTAAAGCAATAATTCAGAAATTTTAGACAAGGTAAAAAAATTCACGCAAGAGGGCAAAATGAAAATTATGCATACCTCCCGAGTGTTGAATTCGATAAAGCAATACCCAAGTGTTTCTTGAGTTTCCGGGTTAATTGGCATCCAAAATCCATCCGGCTTAATCGTCCCAGTCTTAATCCCATCCAATTCTCTAATTATACTTTCGAGTTTTCCGAATTTTTTAGTTCCAAATCCAACTATAGGAAGATTGTCGATAACAATAACATTGCTGAAATCGTTTAAGCAATTCTCCTCACACTCTCCACCAAAATCAACGTCACTGCAGATAAAGATTCAAACAAACCAGAATTACACTAAGATTGTGTCTAATTATTCAGATTATTAAAAAAAAAAAAAAACAAAAAAACTATCCCGCAAGACCTAAACAGTTAATCAGCATAATAATTAAATTAAATACCTAGAGATATCGTTGAGGAACTCTTGATCATCATCGAAATGGGGTGGAAGTGAAATCGAATCCAAGTCCACCTGGGAAAGATCGACTCCTAGTTTTCTAGCGTGCTCTTGGATCATGTCGTCCATGGAAATACTCTCCGAATCAGCTTCCATGAATATCTTTTCTTCTTCAAGTTCTATCATGTTGAAATGTATGTTCTGTATATCAGTATGAATATTGGCTCTCTCTCTCTTTTTTTTTTATACTCCTTTTTTATGTTTTGGATTTTCCTGTAATTGGCTGAATTTGAGTTTGTTTAGGTTACGGTTTCTTACTTGATGCTCAAGTTATAGACTAATTTCAACACGTGCTTTTTAATTACCGTAAGTGATAAAATCCCCCAACCTCCTCCAGTTTCGGTTTATTGGGATTTGGGAAGACTGGACTTCATATTTGACTGAAAAGAAAACCAAAAACATTGGACTTCATGTGAGTCCAATTTACATGAGAATGAATAGGGAAAAAAAAAATCAAATGAAATAGTATAACGTTATTTTCACCAATCATCATCGACCTCTATATATACTAGTGATGTCTGGTCGCGCAACGCGCGACTCTGGCCCAGTCTATCTGTAAATCTTAGAAATAGTTATATTTGAAAAAAATAAAATTTTGTATTTGGAGCGATATATTTTAGAAATGTTTGAAAGATTTAGAAATGTTTTATAAGTGTGATCATAGAAATAATTGTATTTCACAAAAAAAAAAAGAAATTGTATTTCGCCATGTAAGTTATAGAAATATTTTATAAGTGTTATTTATTAAATATAAATAGCCTTAATCGAATATATGTATTGAAGTAAATGTTAGATAAAATATAAAAATATCCTAATAAATTTAAATATTAGTAAGATGATTTATTGATGTTCGGTCGTGCCAAATCAATACTTAGTTTTGGAGATTTTTAATAGCTTTGTAATAAGCTTCATCCGCAGGGTATACGCTTAAAACAAAATTGACACTTTGTAACAAAAACCTAATTGATCAATTTAACTTAAAAAACCACTCTAAATGAATGAAACATAAAGAAAATTTTTTTAAAAAAAAAACGTGTCACGTAAAGTGCAAAGGGAGATTTAGTAATTTAGTTATGGTTTAGATAAAAGGGCAATTTAGTACTTTCCATATGCCACGTGGCAATCATATGAGGTGTTTGAAAGGAAGGTTTTTGTTTCTAATATAGTATATGAGATTTAGTAATTTAGTTATGGTTTAGACAAAAGGGCAATTTAGTACTTTCTATATGCCACGTGGCAATCATATGAGTTGTTTGAAAGGGAAGTTTTTGTTTCTAATATAGTAGGATATATATATATATATATATATATATATATATATATACTAGTGATGTCTGGTCGCGCAATGCGCGACCCTGGCCCAGTCTATCTGTAGATCTTAGAAATGTTTATATTTAAAAAAAAATAAAATTTTGTATTTGGAGCGATATATTTTAGAAATATTTGAAGGATTTAGAAATGTTTTATAAGTGTGATCATAGAAATATTTGTATTTCGCAAAAAAAAAAAAAATGTATTTCGCCATGTATGTTTTAGAAATATTTTATAAGTGTTACTTATTAAATATAAATAACCTTAATCGAGTATATGTGTTGAAGTAAATGTTAGATAAAATATAAAAAGCATCCTAATAAATTTAAATATTAGTAAGATGATTTATTGATATTCTCCATTGGTCGTGCCAAATCAATACTTAGTTTTGAAGATTTTTAATAGCTTTGTAATAAGCTTTATCCGAAGGGTATACGCTTAAAACAAAATTGATACTTTGTAACAAAAAACCTAATTGATTAATTCAATTTAAAAACCCACTCTAGTTGAATGAAACATAAAGAAAAAATTAAAAAAAAAATGTCACGTAAAGTGCAAAGGGAGATTTAGTAATCTTGTTATGGTTAGACAAAAAGGCAATTTAGTACTTTCTACATGCCACGTGGCAATCATATGAGGTATTTGAAAGGGAGGTTTTTATTTCTAATATAGTAGGATATATATACTCATATAATTTCTGAGTTTGGACAAAATTTTGGTAGTATACTATCATTTTGATGATTTATTAACTTTTTAATCCATCAATCTATTATTATTATCCTTATCATCATCAACAACAACAATATTGAGTGTTAATTATTGAGTGTTAATTCAAATTTTTAATTAGTTATTATTTCATAAGTTTTTTGGTCTTACCTGCTACATTAGTATTTTCAATTTTCTCAATTTATCCTTTTCATCTTTTTCTCTACAATTATTTCTAACTTTCTCCTTTTATTTGTAATATTTTCATCAAGTTTTGGTAAATTTTGATATAGGTGTGAAGGATAAATTTTCTTCAGTTTCATTATTTTTTATCTTTTTTCCCCATAATAATTATTTTCAAATCTTTTTGCTTTGTAATTTTTTTTAATCTTCCCTCTTTTATAGGTTTTCAAAAATTTTGACTGCTATCATCATCATCATATGCGTGAATAGTAATCTCGATAATAAAAGTTTAGGAACCTATTATCATCATCAACCTCTATATAATAATTAATAATTAGTAAATGCCAATAAAATTTTAATATTCATTTCCATGAGTCTTTTTCATTTTGCCCACCACATTAACATTTTAAATTTTATTCAATTTCATCCCTTTCATCTCCTTCTCCATAATAATTTTTTTAATTTTCTCTTTCATTTTTGTAATCCCTTCATCTTCTCTTTATGTGTTTTACACTTTCATTCACTATTAAAATTTCCTTCAAAAGCTCTGAAATGGACGAAGGTTGATTTGCAAGGTATTAGAATATTGAATATTGATGTAATACATAATGTTATGATAAAGGTTTCACCCAAATCACTTCTATATTATCTCTCACTTTTTCATAGCATAAGGTATTTCCTACTGGCTTTTAATTCTCTTATAAACTTTTCTAGGTCTCATATTTGCTTGTCTTTGTTGCTTTTCAGAGTTGGTTATCAATTCTTCTTTTCAATTGCCCTAAATTCACTGGCTATTTTGTTAGTTTCTTTGAATTGGGCGTACAAGAATTGTTGAAGGTTTTTTTTTTTTTAATTGTGTTTTTGAATTATTATTTTGTTGCATCACTTTTTTGTTAATTTAAAATTTCTTCATAATTTTTACATCTTCTTTTCATGTTTATTGTCAATAATACTCACATCAAATATCTCTTTACATATTTTGCGCGTTCAATTCCATTATTAGTAATATTAATAGTGATTCGTTGTCTCGTATTCCAAGTCCACTTTATTATCTTAGATGAACAAATATCACCTGTTATATTTTGTTGAGTTCATTGTATAATATTTCTCCGTACTAGAAAAATATTTCAATTAAATTTTCAAATTTATGTTAAAAACATTGCAAATCTAAAAAATTCTCGCTTTATAATGTTCTTTCTTGTACTATTAAAATTAATTAAGTTTTACCAATATTAAAAAAAAAAATTGATTATTCGTTCAATCATAATCTTATTAACTCATAGTTTCTTTATTAATATCAAATTTTCGTACTAATTATGACGAAAGTTTTTCACAATTCTAACACAGGCCACCACTAGTAGGGAAAAATTTTTTGAAAAAAATATAACATTATTTTCACCAATCAGCATATTAATAGTGATTTGTCATCCACTTTATTAACTTAAATAAACAAAATGATAACCATCATATTTTTGGAATTCGCTTTATATTACTCTCTCTGTTACAGGAAAATAATTCATATTAAGTTTTAAGATTTGTACTAAACGAAGTGTAAATCTCAAAATTCAATATGAATTATTTTTCCGGACATGGAGAGTATCTTGGTCCAACAAAATAACCCAGTTCATCAGGCCAAGCAAACAATCCAAAACTTTTTGAAACGTGTCATTACTAGCGTATACATTAACAGTGAAGTTGTTCTGCTATTCACAAAAATTATGAGGCAAAATGCTCAGACAAACAAGGTTAAATGCAACTATACATTTTTCACACCAACGGGGTACCAAAAAAAAAAAAAAAAAATACTTTGAATCTTCAGAACATGCTGTATCCGTCATGTTCGCTCGTCCCAATAAAACACATGATAGCTAACACGAATATGAAGAAGGACGAGAGTTCCATCGCCATTGCTCCCCATCCAATTATTCCCGCGTGTTTTAAGATGACTGGGATAGCTATGCTGCCAACCGCGGAAGCTCCAGTTAGGAATTTAGTTACATCTGCCCAACTGAGATCATAACAATTGTTGGAAAACAAATAAGAACAGATCACCACCAATGTAAGTTCAGTTTAAACAGAATATGTATCAAACAAAAAGAGTGAGGGAAAACGCTACCTGTTCTCGGATTCAGAGAAAAGCGACGAAGTATCTGATCCAGAAAAGAAAATTAACGGCATAGGTAGAACGACATACATTATCACTGCAGAAGGAAGCAAAACCAAAGGATTGTCAGTGATTAAGGGAAATTATAGATCACAATTCTAATTTAAAGTCTCCTCAAGTATTCCAGAATAATAATCCTTTTCATTATTTCAAAAGTATGCCATATTTCAGGACAATATTCCCATCCTTGAAGAAGCTTTTATATTACAGTTAAGTTCAAATTTCATCAAGAAGGTCTGAAACATAAAAAACATTATACCCAAGGACTAACAGTAGGTAAAATCATCATCAAGCCTACCTGTTAACATTGGCCACCAGTTGTTATACAAAGCACAAGCCTGAAATATTATGAAACGACACATGAGATACGATGATCATTAAAACAAATGTCACAAATGTACATGCAAGATAATCCTGGTCTTTTCATTTCTCTTCCACACTCCTCTGGAGTGAACAAGAATGAAAAGGCAATCCCAATGCACTTTGCAACCTTAAAGTAGGAAATAAAGATTACCGAAACCAATTACTTCTGTAGCAATGACAAGAAGAACTTACTAATACTTGCAATACAATCCCTGCTGAAACCAAAATAGCCAAGGAAGCAAGCTTTCCTGTCTCCAGGCAAGCCCTGACGTGTCTAGGTAAGCCGGCCATTGTAAACTTGCTTAACTCATGACAGAGACATGCTGGAAAATGAAATGTCGAATTGTCATTTATCAGATTACCAAGCAAGCAGGATGCATAAGAAGTAGAATAAATTAAAATTCATAGACTACCATGCCAGGTCCTTTGTGGTTTATCAAGAAGTATAGGGCACACAACAGTCATAACCGAGAAAAAAGTTGCATCTAAATCATTCTTTTCTTTGTTTTGATAGCACTGGTTTACTCCATTTTTAAACTGTAGGAACGGAGTGAATGTTTTCATACAGACTGCCAATTAACTGAATCTATAGCTGTGTTTTTCATACAGACTGCCAATTAACTGAAACTATAGCTGTGTTGCTGTTTGAACTACTTGCACTAAAAGCAGGTGCTGGAATAGCCTCAGTTCTGCATTTTTCCTTTCACGGACTGAAAAACAGAAAACTCAGTTCCAGAAAAGAAAAAAAATTGAAAAAAAAAAAAACAACTACTAAAGTTTAGTTGAAACTTAACGTAATCCAAGTATGAACATTGAGATAAGCCTCACCAAGGGGAATTTCATTTTAAAGAGGTGAAGAAAATCACCAATCACTAAATTGTCTTCCCGTCCTCCATTTAGAAAGCTGACAAGCAAAATATAGAGATGAAATCTACAATATGAACTTCTTCTATTTCACATTACTTAATATCTAAAGTATTAGTTTACAAACATCTGTTGTCAGTTTTTGCCACTTAAGTACAACAATACGTGAACAGTTTCCTTTCAGCTGTACATGAATGAACCAGAAGAATGATGATGGTGATGACTTATGTGTAAGTCCTAATGAAAACTCAGAACCAAAGCACAACCATTTAGAGCATGGTTTACTTTCAGCTTGGGCAACACAGTTCTACTGTTTTACTAGTTTCAAAATTCAAGTACTCAAGTCGGCACACACTTCTATATAACCTGGACATGAATGCTGTCTGCTTAAGTGGTAGACAAACAGCAATTCCAAGCGAAATTAACCCATTGGCTTGGATGGCTGGTAAACTTCCTGATACCCATTTTCGGCATTCAAAAAAGGGACAGCAGCAACAGATGACATCATAAGTCTATCAAAAGAGTCCTAAGAAGCCTGGTAATAATACTAGGTAGGTTTACAAATCTAATGTCCTATTCCTGTCAACACATCCTGCAATTCATAATTCAGTCACCAAACCCAAAACCACACCCATTCTGATATCTCCAGAACCACACCCAACAGAAATCTAACTCCGGATATCAAGAAATCATACAGCATAAACTGTAATATTTGGTTCCAAGTAGAGCTAAATTCACTAAAACAAACACTCTTTCATCCTCAGCTAAATAAATTTGTCCAGAAACACCAAAAAAACGAACACAAAAAATAGATCTTTACAAAAGTTGAGCCCGATTGAAAGCGTTATCAGTAAGTCAATACGCATATAACCAATAGAAATAACAAAGGAAAAAAAAAAGAACCAAAGAACAATGAGAAATTAATGAGTAGCCATCCCGTGTGCGTTCAGAACTCATCAAATCAATGAAAGGAGAAGAAAAAGAAACTCTAACACAGCACCAACCATGCTCATAAAGGAATAACAATCAGAACTCCACACCAAATTACAAATACTGATACAAAAGGTATAAAAAAACGCTTTACCAAAGAGGGTGGATTTGGTGAAAACCCAGAAGACTGAACGATCTTCTCTTCTCTTTTCCTTTTGAAAGATTGATGCTTTCACGCAATGGAATCTAGAAATTTACAGAAGAAAAAGTTGTGGAAATCTTGTTGCCAGAGAAGTTCAGCTGTCCCTTTCAGTTTAGGATTTCAGATACAAGCTTTATAGATTATTAAATCAGACGGGAACAGGTAATGATTTGAATAAAACAAACAATTAAAAAGATGGATTTATCAGGACGGACAAATACAATTACAACGGGTAGAAAAGAACGAGGGAGGAAAAATTAAAGGGTCTAATTGTAACTCACATTGTTCAAATTTTCAAAACTTTATGGGAATCTATATAAGCTTCTTTAAAGATGAAGCCCTTTTGTCAAATAAATACCCTGAGAAAAGAAACTATTGTTAAAACCCTTTCAATTTCCAGAATCCTCCACTGAAAGGCGCCATCAATTTCCATGGCTTCCAGTTCAAGAAAACGGCCCAAAACCCAGAACCCAAGACACTACTCTTCATCTTCTTCGGTTCTTTCTGGAAGCTCCATTGTTGAAATCTTAAGGTTCGTTGCCGTTCTTTCGATCGCCGCCTTTGTGGCTATATTCTGCAACTACGTTGTCACTTTTTTCAACCAACAGCCCCCTCCTTTTTGCGACAGTGATCTTGCTTTCGACGAGTCTTTCTCAGGTCAGCTCCTACTTCTGAAGAAAAGCTTCTTATTTTATATCTATTTAATTTTTTTCCCTTCTTCTTCTTTTGGATTATAATCTGCTTTTAATTTGGATTGTATCGTACTGAAAGTCTGCAACGTGAATATGTTGTTATCCTATCTTTTTGTTCATTTCGTGATTGAACTCAATGCATATCTTAGCCTGGTCGGTCCCAATTTCGGATGGATGAGATATTTTGCATTGGTCGACAGCCAATGCGATATTTGGTCCATTCCATTATATGTGTCATCTAGTTTGGTGGATCTTAGTGGCAAGATATGATACATATATTGATTCTATAGAGTGAGATACAGGTTTAAATGTTGGCTATGTCGTTTATATGGTGATGAGAATGGATTTAAAATTTGTCATGATTTTCAATTTCATCCTTTCAAAGTCAGTTAAGAAAGATTTTATTCATTGCAGACTCCTGTGAACCTTGTCCAAGTAATGGAATATGTAAAGAAGGAAAGTTTGAATGTGCTGATGGCTACAGAAAGCAGGGAAAGTTATGCGTAGAAGACAGAGACATCAATAGGGCCGCCGAGAAACTTGTACGTTGAGATTTGTTTATTTAATGTGTTAAGTTCTTAGTTCTTGAAGTTCTTTAACGGTAACTTGGAATGTTTTTATTGTTGAACTGCAGTCAGAGTTTGCAGAAGCTCACGTCTGCGAAGGATATTCTCAGTATTTATGCAGTGGAGCTGGCACTATTTGGGTTTGTATATCTCTTAAGTGCTTTCTATATAATCAATTTGCTCTTTTCCATAGACAAAATATATTCAACCTTTTTTCGCGCGCAATTTCTGTTTCTGTAATTTTATCAGTGGCTTCGGTTTTGTATTGTTGTTAAATAATGACCGATATACTTTCTTTTGTCAATGCATGTATAGGTTGGAAAGGATGATTTGTCCACTTTTTTAGACAATCATCACATGATGGAAGCTCACGGTTTAGATGAGTCTGCGTATGCTCTCTCAAAATTTAGAGCAATTGAGACTGTAGACAAGTTAATGGAGAAAAGAGTAAATGCTGGCGGGTCAGTTAATCTGGAATCTTAGGAACAAGTACGGATTACTATTTGCAATTTACTGATTAGTGACTTTACTTGAGATCTCTGACAAGATTTTACCGTCATTGCTGTTTTAGGTTTGAAGAGTTCAAGTGCCCCGATTTGATTGTAAAGCGTTACAAATCGCTCTCATGTTCTGTTCGGAATTGTATTTCTGAGCATTTTGTAGTGCTACTTCCTGTTTGTGCATTGGTATACACTTATAAAAACTTGCATTTAAGTATTTATCCTATTGTCAGCAGAGTATAAGCTTGCTGACCATGTTAGTTTACAGCTTGTTGGAAGCATTATGGTTCTGTCGAAAGCACTAAAGAGACATCGCCTGTCAGTTAGAGCTGAAGAGATTTACAACAAGGTAAGCGGTTTTTCACAGCAATTGGGTACAAAAAGTAGGGGTATTCATTTCCTGAATGATGTTCCATTGCTATTTTATTTTTATTTTGTATTGCTATAATTATTATTCTTTTTTTTTTTAATGGGTGATTACATTTGTTGAAGAATATGACTGAAATACAGATATTGCTGGTGACAAGCTTGTTAGGGTTTGTTGGATAGGAGCATCTCGATTTAATAGTATGTTGTGATGAAATGGTACTGAACTTGATATAGATGCTATACTCCCATGGAGTTCTACCATGTTAACTTTGAAGTTAAGCATGTCTTAAGTTTTTAGTTCCTGATATTAGGGGTATGCACTAAAGAAGTTGCTCTCAAAACCAATGTGGTTTTCAAACATGTTAATGTTGAAGTTAAGCATGTCCTATTTTAAGTTTTTAGTTCCTGAGTCCTGACATTAGGGGTTTGCACTAAGGAAGTTTCCCTCAAAACAAATGTGGTTTCCAAACATGTCTTTTAAATTTACAATTAGCAATAATAGTACATTTTTATTTGAGATGCCCAGGTCCTGTTTGTGTCGTATCATGTTTGAATTCAATCCAATTTTAATTTGATAACCTTTTTTGAGGGGTGACATTCACTGCTATTGTTGATAATGATAGGTGTGCGATGTACTTGAAGAAAAAGCAGCGATCTCAAGGCGCATAGATGGAGATGGTGAGCCATGGGTAGTTGCCTCATGGTTACGTGATTATCTTCTTTCCCCAAAAGAAAGAAGGGACCCCCTCTTATGGAGAAGGGTAAGAAAGTCTGTGGCATTGCATTCATTCACTTAGAAAATAAAATTTCTAAAGTTTTTTGATCAAGTTACTATTTTTATTTATAGAACATAACTTGATCTGTGACATTTTTAAATTGCAAAGAGAATTTTGACCTCCCACTTGTGTGATTTTAAAATTGTTCATTTATTTCGAAATGATTTTGGTCATCTTTCATTTAAAAATTATTGTTTTGATTAGCGTTGAAAATGCGGCTAGTTTTGTTTTGTAAATGACTGCTTATATTCCTGGTTGAAATGGATACAGTGATACTATATGAATAATTTTTTGAACATGATGGAATAATGGCCTTAACTCCTGTAAACGGAATGGTGATGATGGTGAGTGGTTAGGAGAAGGCCATTAGAATGGTTAGGAAATCTTGGCGTTCTTATTCCTTTTTCACAATTCGAAAAGTATTTACATGCAGTTGACGCATCTTTTTCACTATGTGAAATTGGTCTGTCTTTGTTGCGAGACAAAGATTTTGCTCGTCATGAATGTTAACAAAAAAATTAATTAGTGGGGGAGAAGACTTCTCTCTGAATACAATGAATAATTTTTGCTGTTTACTCTTCCCATTTTGCGGATCCTAGTGTTCCTTTACACTTTAGAACACTCCTCAATGAGTCTATAGGGGACTTGAACACAACCCATTTTCTACTTACCTCAGATCTCTGTTGGGCATGTCCAATGATTTTTAAGATTCATTCCAGAATAGTCAGCATGCAGAGTCATCTATTTTCTCTGTTGAGTGAAGTGTGATACCTCTGGAGAAATCTACTTCTAGAAAAGGCCCTGCTATGTTCTTCGTTGGACATCCACTATCAGTAGCTTTGAAGTCCACTTGTCATTTGGCTTATTTATGAAGTTTCTTCTTTTATCCATGCTGAGATCTTGAACTAGGGAATTCTTGAAATTCCAAGAATTGAGAGAATTAATAAATGGCAGTGCGCAAAATTGTTAGGTTAAGATACTTCATCTTGAATCTTTTCAGGTGCAGATGAAGAACCCTGTTGCTGGCTTTTATTTATCTTGTTAAATAAGTTTTTTTACTTGAAGAGTTTGTTTTGTTTCTCCTTTTTGTCTATTTGTTATTTTCTTTGGGGAAGGGTGGTAGCTATGTATATTGTTCAAGAGAGTTGTAGTGTTTGGACTTTGGAGCTGTCAGTTCCTTTTAGTTTTGGAAGTATCCATTGCAGTTGTAAGCTTATGCTTTGTGTAGTCCAAGTGCACCCTTCTTTTTTGAAGTAGAATGTAATCAATACTTTTTCCAGATTATCATCCTAAATCTAATTAGTATTGCATAACATTTCATGTAGGTTGAGGATCTAGTTCAGGAAGATTCTCGTTTGGATCGGTATCCAAAGATGGTAAAAGGAGAAGCTAGGATAGTATGGGAATGGCAAGGTAAGTATTTTTTTTCTTATCGTGTCAGGAAACCCCCTTGAACTAGTCAGTGTCTTCAATGTTCTGTTGACAGTGCATATTTGCTTATAATGGTTTCAACTGTCCCGCAACACTTAACCCATGTATGAATTATGCTAGTCATTCCGTGTACCCTTGATATAAGACGTTTTGCCTCCGTCGTTTACGTTCTGTTGAATCTCTCTGTGTTATGTAGTTGAAGGTACTTTAAGCTCTTCTGGAAAGAAGAAAAGACAAGAGAACGAGCTGAAATCGAACAGATTAAAGAATCAAACTCCTGGTGAGCAGAGTTGGGAATTTAAGAATAGCATGCTGCTGAATTCTTGAACCTTGTTAGGGACCAATGGCACTTGTAAGCTTTTGTAAACTATATACTGTAGTGGTAGAAGCACTTGAATTCAGATACGTGCAATGTGTTTAACTTTAGATAATAGGCCAGAGAATTCACTGAATTGAATAGCTCGTTACCAACGACTTTTAGGGCGTTTGGCTTCGGCATGAGAGCCCTTGATTTTGTGATCTTTGTATCCTTTGGGCGGTGGAAATAGATGGAAATAGATACTTCAGTTTTGTAATCTATAATCCTTGTCATATGTAATTCTTACTTATGGGCATTACTCATCCTTTAGTATATTAACTGCTTTTCCATAATTATGAATTTGTACAATGAATCAGTAGCCATAATCTTTGATACTTCTTAACAGCGTTGCATCATTTCTTAAGTCATTTCACTTTTCAAATTCAGTATCCGTGTCATTACTCTTTTCATGTACATGATCCTTGTTTATTCGTGGGTCTGGATTGGATTTATTGTTGATGCATTTACTCAAGAAGAATCAGATGCCATGCGCATTTAAGGCCGGCCATGACAATGCTCAAGGGCCTTGTAAGACTGACAGTGCCCCAAAAAAATCCCTTGCTCCTTCTGTCCCGAGATGATTATCCAGTTTGGATTTTCATTTTAATTCAAATTATACTTCAAATAAGATTCTAAAGTGAACAATCATTTTAGAAAAGATGGAGTCTTGATTTTCCATCCAAAGTCTATAGAGAGGAATTGATACATTCTGGCCCCCCAAAAGTGTCGGCAGAGACTACGATATGGATCTACTACCCAACTGGCATTGGCAGTTAGATCCAATAGTTTTTGCCTTTCAATTCTAGGAAAATGATACATCATCAACTTCTTTTCCCTTGACTTGCATCTTGTAGATCCATAATCCACTAATTCTTTTCCACACTTTGTTTCTCACTAAAAGATTCAACAAATTTCTGCGTGCCAAACATACTATGATTGCCACCAAATGCCAATCATATTTTTGGCAAAAAAAATGGCTAGTTTAAATACACATTTCCAACATAACGATAAAATACATATGATGTTTTTGCCCCCATGAATTCTGTGAAAAAACAATTAAGAGGGACAAGCCAGAATTTTGTAGTTTGTGCCAAATACTATGACATAAGTTGACTAACAAACTGACAGCGGTAAATGTGGGTTGTAGTATTTCACTGTAGTAGATCTCTCTGTCCCTCCAAATACGAGAAAACATATCTTCCAAGTCAAAACCAGCCGTAATAAAAAAAAATTAAAAACAATACAAACAAGGAAGCAAGAACATCTCCTTTGCTGTCTGAAGCTGGATCAGCAACTGTGAAAAGATTATTAAAAAAAAAAAGGGATCACAAGAACAAAAGAATGACCCTTTAGCCAAAAATGAGTATCTTGGGGAATGATAATGACCCTTTCAATTTCTCAATGGAACTCAGAGATACTCCAACAAGGACAGGTTAAAACATACTAAAAGATAAAACTGAGTAACAAAAAAGAAAGTGAGTTGATTAACATGATTTGGGCTCGATTAATGACTAACACTGATTAACATTTTGTATTGAGAATTAAAAACAAATGGTTTGGCTATTAAACCAATGTTAGTCCATTCGCTTCTTCTTCCATTTGACCCTTTTTCACTTTCCCAAAACCTCTGTAAAAGTTCAGTGTGCAAGCTTCCATTGTCGGTTTTGGGCCTTTATAAATTCCCACGCTTTACAACCTAGACCCTAGTTTTATTCCCCCACACACACACACAGGAATTAAAATAATGATATATTATGAATCTCAGATATTAAGCACATATCATAGTCTTTACTAGTACTACTTATATACTACACACACCAACTATCAGATTCAAAAATCCCCACTTTTTACAAACAGTCTATGGTGGGATTACTAGTTTCACTGTCATGTCATTCTTTGCCTTTCCCATTATTCATCATTTATAGCTAATGGTGAAGAGTTTTTGTTAGTGAGGCAATTTTGGTGCTCAACTACTTATACAACCTCAGCTTCCAGTTTTTGGGCTGGTGACAGCTATATTCACTAAAAATCTCTGCTTTACATTTTTGTGCTTAAGGTAATGACTGCAATGTTTTGTGATTCAGATTTTATTTTGCTTGTTTGCTCAAATCAGTTGTGTTTATTGTTGTTGTAATAAAGTTGTTTCCTTTCTTGAATTGGATATGAGGAATTGATATTCGTCTTCAATGATTTCATATTCTTTTCCTTTTTAGCACCGTTTTTAGCTTTTATACTGGACCCTTTTGCCGAAAAATTGTGTTGTTTATGGGAATTGAGCTTTTCAGAAGGCACCATTTCGTCTCTCACTTTCCGTTCTGGATCTCAGTCTTTATCTCTGTGGCAAAATTTAGGATAGAAGTTTGAAGAAGTTTAATACATATATAGTTACTTGAAAACTGCCTGGTAGTTCTTTGTTGGACCAGATTTTTTTGGGCTAGGAATCGATACTGAAGCTATTGCAATTGTTATTTGATTTCAGTTCTGCATTCTCCGATATGGATCTTCGTCAATTTTATTTTTATTTTTCCGTGTTCCCTCTAGGAAGATAAAAGAAAGATCTTATGAATGATGGTGGAAGCTCTACTTTGCTGAACTATTCGCCCGTAGTATTTTGGAAATTGAATGCTGAATAAGAAATGTTTTTGAGTATAGCAGTAGCTTTAGTAGAACAGTGTAAAGTTACAGTGATTTGGAGGGAACCAATGAAATTCTGATTTTACGTATTGTGATATTTTCCTATGCATGCGATGCTGCAATTTTAACCTGAGTAATTCATCAGCAGTCTTGCTCTTTTTGATACCTCAAAAAGTTTTGAATACTATTTATGTTAAAGCATGTTCTCCTGTTCCCCAGTTTCAGCTGCAAAAGTTGTTCAAGCTTATATAATTTATTTGCTTTTTGTTAATCTTGCAAAACATTAAATGTGTTACAGATGTGAATCTGTTCTCGTGTTGAGAAGATCGGAATGATTATTTGTCGTGTTGTTATTAATCAATGTCCATGTATCTGTTATCTTCAAATGTAAGAACGAGTTGTTCTTTGATATGCAAATGGTTTCATCCCAAAGCAATTGCACGGTTTGCACCCTGATAGCACCCATGAATTAGCAAGGATCTTCACATGCCATCAATGATTTGTGTGCTTAAACCAATTAGGGAACAACACTCTAAGAAAAGACAATAGGAGAACTTATCTGGTTTGCAAGGAATTCAATTTTGTGATGTTATTTTTCTGTATCTGTTCCAATTATTCTGCCACTGCACCGTTTTGTTATCTAACTCTCCACCATTACAGGGAGCTTTTTGGTGCTTCACAAATCAAAATTATGGCCTCTAAGAAAGACTTACCTCCTGGAAATAGATCACGGAGTCCTGTCTCTATATTTGTTGTTCTTGGCCTGTGCTGTTTCTTTTACTTACTGGGCACATGGCAAAAAAGTGGTTTTGGAAAAGGTGATAGATTAGCAATGGAAATGACCAAGCTCACTGACTGCTATGTTGCTCCTACTTTGGACTTCGAACCCCATCACATTCAAGAGCCACCTGCTGAATCTTCTGAACCAGAAGCCAAAATGCTCATGCCATGTGATATTAAATACACCGATTATACTCCTTGCCAGGAACAGGACAGGGCTATGAGCTTCCCAAGAGAAAACATGATATATCGGGAGAGGCATTGTCCTCCAGCAGAAGAGAAGTTGCATTGTCTTATTCCAGCACCCAAAGGATGGGAAACTCCGTTTCCCTGGCCAAAAGGCCGTGATTATGTGCATTATGCTAATGTTCCTTACAAACACTTGACAGTTGAGAAAGCTAACCAGAACTGGGTACAGTTTCAGGGTAATGTGTTCAAATTCCCAGGAGGAGGAACAATGTTCCCTCATGGTGCTGATGCATATATTGATGAACTTGCAACTGTGATTCCAATAAAGAATGGATCCATTCGCACGGCATTGGACACTGGTTGTGGAGTAAGTTATGCATTTGTTTTTTTAAAGAAATTTTGGCTTATCTCATGATTGTCATAGGGTTGATGCCTTTTCCTTTGATAGTCGCAAATACAGATCCTGTTACTTGTGGAGTGTTCCTGTCCGTATTTATCAAACAACCGTCTTTCCTTCCAAAATTACTTACATGAAAAAAAAAATGTGATAACATTCAGGTTAAAGTGTTTGAAAGCCACATACTTTTGTCAATCTGAAGTTTATAAGCTTCCTCTAACCTTTAATCATAGATATCTGATATCCACCCATCATTGTGGTATCCTTTCTCTTTTCATAAGGGATCTGTCTTAAGCTTCATGACTGTACTATGACTGTCTCCAATTCAATATCAGTTGAATACTTTGATGTTGTTAAATGCTACCTCCAATATGATTTTTAAGCTCGTGTTTTCACACTGATGACTGCTTATGACTGTCTCCTTTTCAGTAATAATAGAAATGCATTATACATGGAGGCATAATCAATATCAGTAATTATTGAATGCTCTGATGTTTTCAAATGCAACCTTCAATTTTGGCTTTTAAGTTTATGTTATTTTTTTATAGGTTGCCAGCTGGGGTGCTTACTTGATGAAAAGGAATATCTTGGCGATGTCATTTGCACCGAGGGACAATCATGAAGCACAAGTGCAGTTTGCATTGGAAAGAGGCGTGCCAGCTTATATTGGGGTTCTTGGGTCAATAAAGCTTCCATTCCCATCAAGGTCATTTGATATGGCTCAATGTTCTCGTTGTCTGATACCGTGGACAGCAAATGGTATGCAATAGAAATGCATTATACCTGGTAAAGCTTAATTTTGTGGTTGCCGTAACTTTCCAGAAGTCTACAATTACTGAGTCAGTGACATGTCTCATGCTATTGTAGTTGTTGAAGAAAAGTAAATAAATTAATAGTTTAACAGGAAAGGTTACAAATTTAGCAGGAAAACACTTGCTGGCAGATATGAGTTATGAGTATACTGAACGTCTTAATCTTTGCTCATGATTAATCGTATAATCCAATGGAAACAGAAATATGGAGCAGTATGGATTCATTTATTGACCAGAAAAGATGGATGATCAAAGTTTTAGTCAAATTTCTGTGGTTAGTGAATTTAATCTTAACCTGGAGTTGCTGATCCTGGTGCTGTATTTGCAGATGGTATGTATTTGATGGAAGTTGATAGAGTTCTCAGGCCAGGTGGCTATTGGATTCTCTCTGGTCCTCCGATTAACTGGAAGACCTACTATCAGACTTGGAAAAGGACTAAGGAGGATCTCAAAGCTGAACAAACAACAATTGAGAAGCTGGCTGAAAGTCTTTGCTGGGAGAAGAAGTATGAGAAGGGAGATCTTGCTATCTGGAGAAAAAGAATAAATTCCGAGTCCTGCAAGAGAAAGTCTGCTAACATGTGTGAAACGGGAGATGCTGATGATGTGTGGTGAGATACTGTTCAGCTTTTTCTTTTTTTAACTCTTTTTTGTTTCTGAAACTCTTATTGACTGGCTTATAGCATTTTTTTCATACGTCTTTCTTCTGCTGAAATTATTCCAAATTGCCTTCAATCATTAAACCCCATAAATATTATCAAACCACATAAAACTGACAACTTTATCCGAATGTCTGTTCCATGGCAGAGGTTAACCTTCTAAAAGTTTGAGTGCACATTTCGATGCATAATTTTGCATTTTATTTGTGTAATTTATTACAGATGGCTAAAGCTCAAAGAAGGGAATGGTTTGCCGTGGCTTGTATGTTACCTATATTCAAAAAGGATCTGTATTGAACTTTAAGCAAAACATATACCATGACATTGTGTTTAATAGTTAGTATTAAGAAAGAAGCAGAATCTCCAATGAGTAGATGTTGGTTCTTGATGTAATTTTTTGTTAGTCATCTAACCAATTATCAGAAGTTAAATAATAATTGCTGTTTTATTATATCTGCTCATATCCTGCTAATGAATCTTAGGTATAAGAAAATGGAAACATGCGTAACACCATTTCCAGGAGTTGAAACAGCGACTGAAGTGGCTGGTGGAAAGTTAGAGAAATTCCCAGCCAGGCTGTTTGCAGTTCCTCCTCGTATAGCAAATTCAATGGTTCCCAAGGTCACTGTTGAATCTTATGAAGCAGACAACAAACTGTGGAAGAAACATGTACATGCTTACAAAAACATAATTCGGTTACTTGGGACCTCAAGATATCGTAACATAATGGATATGAATGCTGACCTTGGAGGCTTTGCAGCAAATTTAGATTCATCAAAGCTCTGGGTAATGAATGTTGTGCCCACTATTGCTCAGAATACTCTTGGTGTCGTATACGAGAGAGGCCTCATCGGCATGTATCATGACTGGTACTTTCTTATTATCCTTTTTGCCCCGTGTTTACCATGTATCATGTCTGGTACTTTCTTATTATCCTTCTTGCCTCCTGTTTACCATTTATCATGACTGGTATTTTCTTGTTCTAAAGTAGCCTGATCATGGTTAAAAAATTATGCACGTCGTCTTTCAGTTTCCATAGTTTATTTATAGTTGGGACTATTTTCTTGTTTCTTTATCTATGATAAAGATGCAGATTCTTAAGAAAATGCTGAGGTATTGGCACACAATCTGTGTTATTTATGGTTCAGGTGTGAAGGTTTCTCCACTTACCCGAGGACATATGATCTCCTCCATGCTAATGGCTTATTCAGTCTTTACCAGGACAAGTAAGCTTTTTCGATCCCTGCCTGCCATTTCTACATCTCGTTTCCTATATTTAATGGCTTCTTGGTTTCACAATTTGCTTAAAAATTGACTAGCATGCAACCAATTACCATGTTCAATGAGGAAGTATAAGAAAATCATGGACGTCATCTGGAAACCACATTTATTATTTTGTTTGATGCATATCTTAAAAGTTTAAGGACTGTTAGTATCTTAGACGTAATTCTAATTTGGCAGAATTTTTTATTTCCGAATTCGGAATTAAAGCTATGAATGTGAATGTAGATTATCTATCAATGGCTGCACATTTTCACGAACCTGAATAGACACAGATAAAAAAATGTCTTATTCTTGTGCTTAAATGCACCGAACAGGTGTGAGTTTGAAGATATTCTTCTTGAGATGGATCGTATCTTGCGGCCTGAAGGCACTGTGATCATCCGCGATGCGGTTGATGTCTTGAATGAGGTCAGGAAAATCGCAGGAGGCATGAGATGGGATATAAAACTCGTGGATCATGAAGATGGACCTCTCGTGCCTGAAAAGATATTCGTTGGTGTCAAACAGTATTGGGTTGGAAGCACAGGGAATAGCACAACTGATGATGAATAAACCACTAGACATTGTTGAATACACAAGGCAATGAACAGCTACCGTGATGCTCAAACCTAGCCGCTGTAGCTGGAGACGTTAGTAATTCAATCATGGATATTGGAGGGGTAGGTTTTGTAGAGCTTTCATTTTTTTTTTTTAGGGTAAATGTTCATGTATGCTTTATTTTGAAGTTTGTATCAATGTTGAGAGCCTTTACAGAGTTAAGACTATAAAAAGGCAAGAATTGCCTTAGTGACAATGTTGATGTTAGTAATAGTGGCCTAAAGCTAAAATTGGCCGTAAGCCTAGAGCAGTATTTACCTAATGATGGCTGGTTGCCTTTGTATGAATAACTAAAATCTTCTCAATTTTTGCAATATCAAATTACAGTCTTCAAGAAGTCCGTTTCAGTAGTATTATCTCAATGTGCACTAGAATCAGAAATGCAAATCTCGTCCTCAGAATAGGAGTGCTATATTTACTAAATCAAAATAGTAAAATCTCGTACTTTGTTTCAATACGGACTATTTTTTTAGGACATGAATATAAAAAATATATTAAGAGTCTAATTTCTACAATCATGTTTTGTGTTTTTTATATTGTAGAGATCTATCGCCAGTGCTCTTAATAGATATTTCGATGGATACGATAACTGGCCAAAAAATTTAAAATGTTAGGTATAATGATTGTGATTCCTTCACTCATGGTAAATAAGAGAGTTGGCCAAAGGATTTGAAGGTACTCTACTTTACCACTCTACCTTAATAGGCAAAGGTTCTAATTTCTAGACTATTAAGGCGGAGTTGGTTATCACTCCACTACAACTTTTTCAATTCTAGAATTTTATTCATGACGAATTAATTCATCTGTTGGTGGACTTGAACTGAAAATGTTTTATTTTTTAAATTGGGCCTGATTGAAATAGGCCATTTTTTGTTATGGGTAAGAAATACGCTGGGCCAAGCCCACTAACCAAATTTGGTGATTCCATCAAGGGGATGCTTTGTAATCATGCTTCAAGCTTCCTTCATATATATGAAAAAAGAAAAGAAGAAGCTTTAATGTTCGAGAACTCTCAGATTTATGGTTAAATTTTCTCAAAAGAATACTAGTAATTTCTTATGCATTAAAATTAAACTATAAGTCTTAATATTAGTGACTCAAAATCATATCATCAATATATAGAAAGGATTATTATTAGTCAGCATCTTTTTATGTATTACGTCAATCATTTCAAAATTCTCAACACATTAGTAAATGATTTGACTATATATTTCACAAAGAAATGGTTAAATGTGCAAATCAGTATCCTAATTCGTTTGAAACAAAGGCCGTTTCATCACAAATAAATGGTTATATGTGCAAATTAGCATCTTAATCCGTTTGAAACAAAGGCCTTATCTCGTTTTTCAGTTAAAATATATTTATTTCTTCAGTCTTATACAAATAATATACATTTCAATGTTACTTCATTGGGTTATTTTTATGCGAAGAAGGGCGTATCAAAAATTAATTGACAAGATCATTTTCTTTTTCCCTCTTGCTAAGTCTATAGGGTAAAAAAAAAATTTAAAAAAAAATGGGATCCAACATCCACGTTGTAAGAAAGATAGGCTTTCCGAAAAGCAGAGGGAGTGTAAAATCATGATTGCATGATTAAGAAAAGCAAAGTCTGAAATCATGATGAAGATCCCTGAATCGGGAAACGTCAATCAACAACAACAACAAAGACATTATCACCTGAGTCCGTACTTCGTAACCATTTTCCTCTGATTTTTTTTCCCTTTGTAAGATTATGTGTCTCTTCAACTTTTTGCCCCTTAAACAAAGCTAACCCCCACAATGTGACCAACTACTAGCCAATGTCTTGGCATCCACCAAATTAAAGGGTTGGAATACTGTTGTTTACATAATATAGACAAGATGTATTCACGAAAACGTATATATGAGTTTATGACCTGTCTCATCAAATGTATAAAATTTACCGTTATAAAATTTATTTACGTTCTGAAAAATACATGCATATGCGCATATCTCCCTGTTACCAAAAAATGATGCATATATATATATATATATATATATATATATAAAAGGACAAATGCATGTTTTGATCCCTAATATATTGGGGATAACCTAATTCAGTCACCAAAAATATTTTACTACCAATTTTAGTCCCTTAATATTTTTTTCTGCCCGATTTTGGTGTTTTAACAAATTTTTTTGTAGTAATTGACGGAAATTTTAACCCCTCCATTAAGCTCTGAATTTTTTATTCATTTCTTGCGGGTGGTGGGTCCCATATTTGTTGATCCTGGAAAAAAAAATTAAAAATTCAGCCTTTTTCTTTGGCAATAAACGAGGACGGTATTCCGGTGAGATTTCAGGTACACCAACAGGGTTGGGTCGGCGGCGGTGGTGTCCCAGACCTCAATGACGTCGGGCCGTGAAGATATCTTCCACATAAAAATTTCTGTCAATTATTACAAAAAAAAAACTTGTTAAAACACCAAAATTGGGTAGAAAAAAATAGTAGGAGACTAAAATCGGCAGTGAAATGTTTTTGGTGACTAGTTTAGGCTATCCCCAATATACTAGGGACCGAAACGTACATTCATCCGAAAAAATGATGCATAAATTGAACAAAAAGATTTATATGGTGAGAGCTGATTCCCATCAAGTTGAATTGCGCTCAGGCAAGCGAACAACATAATGCATTAATTATTGTGATCAGTAACCATATACAAGAGGAAGACAAAGGAGGGACAAAAATGAATTTATCATCAAAACAATGGTACGATCCATCGTTCATGAATTATTACTTAAGAATTTTCAAGAACATTAAACGCACCTTTGTAATATTATTTTCATCTTTTTTCTTTTTTTGTACAATGAAAAACAAGTAAACTATAATCTTATTTTCTTCAATTCTACATATAAGACACTTACATTAGAACTAGGAAAATTAATTAATAGACTTTAGCAGTTACTACTACTACTATTAACAATATCATTACAATTTGATCTACCTCTATTAAATGTTTTGATGTGGTGAACATTAGAGACTTGATTGCTCACGCTTTTTATGTTTTACATTTTCAGTATAGATCACATGTGACACAAGTTTGTATTTAGGAACGGAGAGATTAAAAGTTGTCTTTTATGTTTAGTGCGAGAAAAGCGATAAGCTACGTAGGTTTTTGTTCATTTTAGGATGATGATTGAGATAGACACAAAAATTTTAAAGTCAATAATGGATATAGTGTTCTGCAATACTCTTGTGGTTGTATGAACAAAGAGACCTTTATTAGGGCTATGAGGGGATTAATTAGTCAAGGCAAAACACAATTCTAACCACACGAACTACTGATAAGCTCTATCTTTCTTGGTCATGACCACCGATAGATCGCACGATCAATCCTAAAGTTTGGATATTAGAAAAATCTAACTCCAAGATTTGAAATTTGTGAAGTAAATTTGGCCAAGCCAACAAAAACTTTTCTTAATTCATTGAATAATATTGAAGCAAAATCAGCCAGAATTCCATTAACTATAAACTATTGAGACGTGATAAGTAAAGGGCTTCATTCAATGTAAAGTATTCGGAAGAGATTTTTTTTGGTGCAAAATACCAAAACTCCAAATCCATGGGCTGGGAAGAAAAAAAAAAAAAAAAAAAAAAAACTGACCAAACTGCTGTTTTTGTTGTCCCTCAATGGGCATATTGTGTAGGGGAGTACCTACCAAAACACAGCAATCGCACGAGGCTCGTCACTTTGGGTAAACTATTTACATTCATGATGGAATGAGATAGGGTCCACCACAGAAAACATGAATGTATAACTTGTGGTGAGTTTGATTTAGACTACATAGTTTACTACAGACAGCACAAAAGCCACATATGATGGCAACAAAACCCTAGTTTGGGTTATGCTTTAAATCTTGGCAATAATCTCGACCTTTTTGTCATCATCTCACTTTTGTAGATGTTATTACTACTACTTGGTTGTAATGTGTTGCACCCATTTGTTTAACGGCGAGGACACGAATTAAAACTTAAAAGATCATCCCAAGCCATGATTCCTTACATCTTTTTAAAAATATTATTAAATTTTCCTTTAACAAATTTTCAAGTTATTGTTGGTGCTACGTACAAACCATTACATTGAATACTTTCTCAAACCCTTAAGGTACGTTGGCTATTACTAATATTACTATGAGAATCGTTATGTAACTCTAAGGTGAGGGCGCCAAGAGTTTGGGGCTCAATTTTTTGGTAAGATACATACTCAACGGAAGTGAAGGAAATCATAAATGTAATTGAAATCCAACAATTTTCATATTAATGTAAGATATTTGTCAAATTTCCCAAAACTTTGGGGGTGTAATTACAGAGAAAACAAAAATAAGATAGGCCTCTAAAATTGAAGTTAATATCTAATAAGATGTACCAAGTCAACTCCCTCTATAGCTAGGTCAGTGTATGCATCATTGGTCCTATATATTGGTCCTGGTCCTGGATCGTGGTCCTGGTTTGAGGAGAAGAAAATAAACACATTACTTATTTCTAGTTTCGAGTTGCACTAACTATTGATGTACAAAACATGTTGTCCCAAATTTGTTAAAATGAAATACTGCTAATCACTACTCCCACAAGATGGTCCTATAATTACCATTTTTCATTTTTATTTTTATTTTTTGCTTTGCTACTATAGTTATACTCATAAGCTCCAATAGGTGGTATTAATTAAGCAGTGATTTTGTGGTTAATCATCTGAGATGTGTAATTATGTGGCAAATTAATTGTAGCGTCATCGAAAGTAACAGTTCTTCCTTGGGGTTGCAAGTTAATTGAGGACTGCATTTTTCTTAGCCTGGCTGGCAAAGGGACTATGTTAATTATGGTGAAATCAAAGGCTAAAAGTTTCGGAAAGCACTGTTATTATTTAATGAAGTCCGCATTTTGAAGTACACTTATAAGAATTAGATTTTTTATTTTTTTTGCCAATAAAGGAATTCCTCAAACTAACGGTCAAATTACTTTGCGAGTCAAGTTTTTCGTTTTTTTGGATCAATGGAATAAAGGGGATAAAACTCTTAAATATTGAGACTGATCTACGAAAATTAATGTTATAGAGTGGGGTGAAAATATGACAATTTTTATGTGCTTTCTTCTTATTCAAACAATTTGGATTAAAAATTTCAACTAGATTATATTGTAGTCACGATATATATTAAGCCAAAAGGTCAATATCAAAATCCCCAAGGTCAAGTCCGAACAAAAGAGAACGTTATCAAAATTAGACAACTGATAAATATTCTCATGAAATTTGAGACCCAAACCTCATTCACAAGATTATATATGATGATAATAATAAAAAAGTTAATTATTAGGAATTCATCATAGGCGCCCATGCCTTTTTTAACTGTAGAACATGAGCATAGTACTAAGGTCACACGATTTGGAGGAGAAAAGGTGCGGAACCACTATGGATTTGGGTTGAAAAT